CCTTGCAGATTTGGGGCAGTTGCCTGAGTTCACCTCTAGATGGCAGCCTTCACCCTTAAACCTCACCAGCTTCCACCCCAAAGGCCAGAGAGAAGAGAACAGGAATAAACACCAGGCTTGCCCAGCCACCTTGGGTGCACAGCATTCTCTCTGGTTTACAGTTGAGAGAACGAAGGCTCCAAGAGAGGCGCAGTCACGGGTCCAAAGTCACACAGATAGGCGGGTAGCTCAGCTTCTCTTGAGCTAGAATTTCCTCATCTGTAAAATGAAACTGATCCACCTTTGGCAACATGACTATTTTCTGTCACCATAGATTTACCTGTTCTGGACATTTCACATTAACAGAATCATACCATAGATGGCCTTCCGTGTCCGATTTCTTTTCACTTAGCATAACGTTTCCCAGGGTCTCCATGTTGCAGCCTGAATCAGTATTTCATCCCCTTTTATGACTGAATAATTTCCCATTGTATGGCTAACACATGAAATGTATCCATTCATTCACTGACAGAGATTTGGGTTGTTTCTGCTTTTTGGTTATGCTGCCGTGAACACTCATTCTCAATTCTTTTGGGTCTGTATCTAGGAGTGATATTTCTGCGTTTTATGGTAACTCTGTATAAGTTTTTGAGGAACCGTCAAACTTTTTTCCAAAGCGCTGCACCAGTTTGCGCCCCTACTGCAGGGTATGAGAGTCCCAATTTCTCCACATCCTGGACACTTGTTCTTGTCAGTCTCATCAATTACAGCCATTCTAGTGGGTGTGAATCTCATTGTGGCTTTGACTTCCTTTCCCAAATGGGCAGATTTTTCTCCCTCCCTTCCCACAGCTCCCATTTGGCTTCTCTCTTGATTTTAGGTTCACTTGAACAGGTAACACACTGGGGAGCCCCCAAACAGGAGGTATGTACCTTCAGGGAGCTTCTATCAAGAATTTTGTATTTTGGGGGCACGTGAGTGGCTCAGTTAGGCCTCTGACTTCGCCTCAGGTTATGATCTCACAGATCATGGGTTCAAGCCCCACGTCGGGCTCTGTGCTGATAGCTCAGAGCCTAAAGCCTTCAGATTCTGTGTATGTCTCCTCTCTCTCTGCTCCTCTCCTGCTCACGCTCTGTCTCTCAAAAATAGATGAAATGTTAGAAAAAAGAATTTTGTATTTTGATAAGTAGGACTTTGAGCAGAGGGAATCTGAGGCACCTTTCAGGAGACGATCACCAGTTGGAATGGAAGTTTGCTTGGGTTTGGGGACTTTTCCAGAGTTTTGTGGTCTGTCTGAAATAGAGTTTTCCTCCCCTACCAGCTCTGTAGCCTTAAGCAAGTTGTTTAATGTCCCCTTTGCCTTGGCTTCCTCACCTGGAAAATGGGACTAAGCATCCCTAACTTTAAAAAATTTTTTAAATGTTTTTATTTATTTATGAGAGAGAGAGAGGGACAGCGTGAACAGGGGAGGGTCAGAGAGAGAGACACACACAGAATCTGAAGGAGGCTCCAGGCTCTGAGCTAGCAGCTGTCAGCACAGAGCCTGACGTGGGGCTCAAACCTTGAGATCATGACCTGAGCCGAAGTCGGACGCTTAACCAACTGAGCCACCCAGGCGCCCCTAAGCAACCCTAACTTATTTAGTTGAGTGGCGCACACTCTTTTCACCCCCAACAATGTCTGCAGCAACCCTGGGTCCAGCGGCAGAATGTACCCTCCCTCACCTGGGCGACTGGGGATAAGCTCTTTATTCAGAATGACTCAGTGCCTTGGGAGCCAGAGGTCTGAGTTCAGTTCCCAGTTCCATCTCTCTTTTTTTTTTTTTTTTAATTTATTTCTAGGAGAGAGAGAGAGAACGTGAACAGGGGAGGATTAGAGAGAGAGAGGGAGACACAGACCCTGAAATAGGCTCCAGGCTCTGAGCTGGCAGTCAGCACAGAGCCCGACGCGGGGCTCAAACCCACGAACCGCAAGATCATGACCTAAGCGAAAGTCGGCCGCTTAACCAACTAAGCCACCCAGGCGCCCCATCCCAGTTCCATCTCTAACCAGCCCTTAGTCAAATCCCTCTGCGTGTCTGGGCCCCAGTTTTCTCATCTGTCCAAACTGTACCTGTGTTATAGGGTCGTTAGGAAATTTCAACGTGACCGTGCACGTCAAGTGCCTAGCTGGGTGCTTTACGCTGAGGAGGTGCTCAGGATACGTGAACTATCATTACCATCACCACTGACCACAGACAGGCCTACTATGTGCCTGGCATCCTCAGAAAAGAAGGCACACAGATGATGGCAAAGCCGCGTCCTGTTCCCAAGGACTCTAGAGTCGCCTTAAATGTCTGACTTCAGACTCTTTGCTCCCGCCACTCCGCCATCTGAGTTGGGCCTGAAAGGTGGGTCAAAGTTGAGCATGAGGGGATGGAAGGGAGGAGGGGCCTGGGAGGCAGCCAAGCCTGGGAGATGGGAGCATGTAACACATGAATGGAAAACTGCAAGTATTTTAGTTTGGTTCCTTTGGGGCCCCTTCTGGTCCATCTCACACAGATCTTAGATAAAACATATTACGTGCCGGGGCGCCTGGCTGGTTCAGTTGGTGGAGCATGCACCTGTTGATCTGGGGGTTGTGAGTTCGAGCCCCACGTTGGGTGTAGAGATTACTTAAAAAAATAAATGTTAAAAAGAAATAACATAAAATATATTAAGTGCACCTCTGAGGACTTTGAGGACAACTTACTGAATTGCACAGTAAATAGGTCACTTTTGCCATCCCCATTTCAAAGATGAGGAAATTGAGGCTCAGGGAGATCCAGTAACCTGACTCAGAGCGCAAGCTAGGAATGGATGGGGCAGGTATTCATGTTTGGGGAGATAGACTACAGATGTGCTCCCACAGGAATTAGTCAGTTCCCAGGCGGTGAAACTAAAGCCAGCTGCCCGAAACTCAGCCACAGAGAGCTGGCTCTTGGGCCCCTTGCTGGCTCCCTTCTTTCGTCTCAGCCCCACCCTACCACCCCCATTTCCCTTCCTGGCCCTAGGGCTCTGCTCCTTCCCCAAACCTGCTCTGCCACAATTCCTTCCAGGATCCTTCATCTGTAAAATGGGGATAATGATAGTGCCCGTCTCAGAGGGGTGTTGTGAGGATCATCACCACCCCGATTTCAGTTGTGCCTCAGAGTCCTGTGAAATCCGCCGAAGAGAAGCACTGTCCGCACTTGATAGTTGAGGAAACGGAGGTTGAGGGGTGGAATAGCGGCCTGTCCAGGGTTGCACAGCTAGGAAGCAGAGAATGAGACTTGAATCGGAGCCTCCTTGCCACTAAACAGAGCTTTGTTTATTGAGTCGAAACACGCTATGCATGGGAAGAGGGCAAGAAGCACTCTGGGAGAGGGGAGGCAGACAGGGAAGGCTTCCTGGAGGAGGAGAGGTTAAAGCTGGGCCTTGAAGGATCAGTGAAATATGTAGACTGGAGTAAAAGGGTCTGTGGACTGGAGATAAGGCCAGAAATGTAACCACAGCTGCTATTTCTTGAAGTTCTTTATGAACTAGGCTCTGTGCCGACAGCTTTACATGCATTATCTCATGAGATTTCCCCACAACCCAATGAGGTGGGTGTTAATAGGGATGAGAAAAGTGAGACTCGGGGAGTTTATAAAACTCACCTGGGATCACGTAGTAAAGTGACTGGGTTTGAAGCCTGTTCAGTCTGCTACAAAGTCTGGGCTCTTAATCACCGTGCATTAGTGCCACCTCATCCTTGAGATTTAAGTTTGAGGACCAGGTATTAAGCTGGGAACTGACTCTGGAGGGTTTAAAAGCCAGGCTCAGACCTGCACAGAAACCACATAGCACAGGCAGGAATCAGCAGACCAGAATTTAGCTTCTGAGGGCTCCACCACTCACTAGCCAAGGTCATGTCTTGGAGCCTTGGGGTCTCTATAAACTGAAGAGCGGGAATGTAAATGGATTATCAGCAAAAAAAGGTTTTGAATGAGAGAGGGAGGCTCTTGTGACAAAAGCATTGTTTAGGAGAAACACAGAGATGTTCAAATATTTACTGAGTATTGGGATCTGGGAATGTAACCGAACACAAGACAGACCCCCAGCCCCCACCCAGGCCTGCAAGGGGCAGGACACAGCTTGGGAGAGTGGGGGAGAAGTCTTGTACTGAAACAAACAAGGGCTCAGAAACAAACAAGGGCACCCCTCTCTGTACCTGCAGACTGTGCCTCCCACTGCGGCATCGGCACCTTGTGCAGATTGGACTGCCAGTTCTCAAATCAGTGAATCTCTCTGTGTGACCTTGGGCAAGCTACTTAGCGTCTCTGTTTCTCCATCTTTACTACTAAGACCATAATGCCTCTTCCCAGGATTGTTGGATTCAATTAAATAAAACCACTCATGTAATGATCTAGCAGGGCGCCTGGCATACTGTAGTCACTCAGCAGATGTTTGTATCCTCCTATGAAGAGGTATAAATGTTAGGTTCCACCCATCGCCTCCTGCCAAGGAAGAAAAACGGGTTCCTGGCTTTCATTTTAGCGGGGAGGAAAAAGAATATAAAAGCATATATGCTAAGTAAGCAATCATGCAAACTAACAAAAGGCCTTTGGCCTGGGCAATGTGCTGCCGGGTCTGGGCTCAGGACAGGACTCCGTGCCCAAATCCGACCGCCCCCTTCTCCGGGCCCATTGCTCAGCGGGCCACCGCGCTGCTCCGGCTGCCTCTGCACTGTACGGGACCCACTCTCCCAACCTGTTTCGCGGGCTGCGAAGGCCAGCGGGCACCAGGCGACAGCAGGTGTGGCGGTCCCTTTAAGCAGAAAAGCTCGTGTTGCAATTGCAGTCTTGGGGACCGGTCCTTTCCGGGAGGTGGAGCCTGTGCATGATGCCGCGGCCAACCAAAGCGCGGCATTTTCCGCGGGAGATCCGAATTTCGCGGCACGCAGTTTGGCGCTAAAAAAAAAAAAAAAAAAAAAGAAAAAAAAAAAAAAGAGGCACAGAAAGGCCTGGGGACTAGAGAGCCAGGCGCGAAGGAGTCGGTGCAACCGCGCCCCCCCCCCTCTCTCGTCCGATCGCATCTCCTCTCCGCCTAGCCCCCGGCGACCCCAGAGATCCCTCCTGCGAGCCAGCCGGACCCCCAGCGCCGAAGACTTTCGGGGGCGCGGGGCCGTCCGGGTCGCCGCCGCTCTCGGGGCGGGACAGCCCCCGGCCGTGTCGCCGCCGCCGCCGCGGGGCGATCTCCAAGCGAGGATCTCCAAGCGCTGCTCGGCTCGGCCGCGGGCCAGGAGGGGAGGGTCCGGCCTTGCCCCACAGGCGTCCATTGGCGGCTTACCCCGGCCTCCGCGCCATGCCTCTGGCCGAGTGAGCCTCCCCGGGCTTCGGAGCCCGCAGGTGCCCGCGGGCGCGCCAGGCCCGGTTGGGGAGGGGGCGCTGCGCTCGCCATGCTGCGAGGGTCCCGGGCCCTAGCTCCAGCCGCCGGGCCGCCCTCGAAGGGACTGCCCGCGATGAGCCCTACAGAGCTGTGGCCGCCCGGTCTCAGCAGCCCCCAGCTCTGCCCGGCCACCACCACCTACTACACCTCGCTGTACCCGCAGACCGTGCCTCCCACTGCGGCGCCCGGCACCTGCCTCGACGCCACCCCCCACGGACCGGAGGGCCAAGCTGTGCGATGCGTGCCGGCTGGCCGGCTGCCGGTAATGCTGGGGACCTCCCCACCGCCACCCACCGCTTCTCCCTGTGCTTTTGCGGGTGTGGGAAAGGAGGGAGGGGCGCCTGGGACCCAGTTTGAGCAAAGCAGGTCGCGTTGGGGAGGGAAATGAGAGCTTTCGGCTTCCAGAACAACCCATTGCCCTGCATACCTGAGTAGAAGAGCCCTTCATTTTCGGACTTGGGATGAAATAACCTCATCGAGTGGAGTGGAGTGGAATGAGCACTGGATTGGGACTGTGGAGACCCAACCCACCACCCCCAGTGCACTGTGTGACCTTGGGAAAGTCCACGGAGGCAGCACTGCCACCATTCATTCATTGTTGGATCCAGAAACTGGTACTGGGCATCGGGTATTGTTCAGATACAGGGCTTGGCCTAAAGACAGTGTGGACTTAAAAAAAAAAAAAATCAGGGCAAGGGGGGCGGGTTTCGCGTCCAGTCTGGCTTGGACAGACTCCAGATTTCCCATACAGCCAGCTCTTCCCCAGTTATCTGCCCTGGGTCTCCCCCTAGTCCCCGTCTTCCCTCCCAGCCAGCCAGTAGCAGGTGCAAATTGAGGGCAGCTCTTGGGTTTCCTATTCAGATCGTCCCTTTCTCAAGCCCCCAGGGCACTGCCAGGGAGGGCCCAAAGTGTGGCACCCAGTACAGGGTGTGTTTTGTGGGAGTGGAATTCCTGGAGCCCTTGAGAATGGAAACAACCACAGGGTGGAGTGGGAAAAGCCCTGGGGGCTGGGGGGTGGGTGGGGGGCCTGGCTTCTGGCCTGACTGCCACTAATTCAGTGTAGCCTTGAATCAGTCTTGGCACCAGTTTGGGCTTACGTTTCCTTTGCTTGAAAATGCATGTGTATGTGGGGTAGTTGGGCTACCTTATCTCAGGTCATTTCCAGCTCCAGGTCCTGGCTTTTGGACATAGGCTCCAGGGAGGGGAGATGGGGTGCTGTAGGCGTACTTAGCTGTGAGTGGTGAATAAGTTCAGGTACAGAGCTGAACTTGCCCCGCCACTGCCATAGAGGCATCTGGTCAGACCTGTGCCAGGCACAGACCCCCAGCCCTCCCTGGCAGCAGCTACTACTCCCTGCTACTGGAATCATGCTTGGCCCATCCTCAAGGCTTTGAACTTTTCAGAGCCCCTTCCTGCGCATGATTCCTAACTAGGAGGAAGGAGGCAGGGGCGTTATTCCCATTTTGTACGTCAAGCAGCCAGAGATAACTGGGACTGACTATCTATCTTACGTTCAGTGTTACCCTGTGAAGTAGAAGGCATTAGTAGCTCCAGGGAGAAACTGAGGCACGGAGTGGGGATGTGATCTGCTCAAGGTCATGCAGGGGGATGTATGACCAAGGCTGGCGATCACTGGGCCTCTTCTCTGCAGCCGTAGCTTTCCCCAGTGCAGCCTGACCTAGGAGCTGGGAGCCCCCTGGGGAAGGGGCTCTGTGGCGGGTGCCGTCTCCTCTGGCCAGCTGCTTTCAGGCACTCGGGCGGAGTTTCAGTGGCTGAGTTTCAGTAACAGCTGTGGTTTTGAACTGCTTCCCTCCCAGAGGAGCCTGCCTGCATCTGTCTGTAGCTCCCTCCCAGGGGGGCTCTGTGATCACAGCAAGAATGGCTTTCTGTTACTGGACGCCTCTCGTGTGCCAGGCACTGCTTGGCACTCTCCACGTTCATTATCTTGGCCAAGATGCCCGGGACGAGGCATCTCACAGATGAGGAAACTGAGCAGAGACGTGAAGTCACTTGTCCAAGTCACAAGCCAAGAAGTGGGAGAGTCTCCTTGCATCAGACTGCCCTAAAGGGCTGCCGGGCCCAGAGCCCCCTCTCCTGTCAGATGGCCCGTGGCCCCCAGCCTGTGGGCAGGCCTGGCCCCCTGCTTACTCATCTTACCAGGGTGTGGCCTGGAGCCGCTCCAAACCCAGCCCTGGGTGTGGCTGCCTGTTTTGTGGCCGGGTTGCAAAGTGCAGGGTGAGCAAGATTTGTTGAGGAGCTCTGTTTAAAAGGACCTCAGGGGTGGCAACCAAGTTCAATGGCAGAACGAAGGCCTGAGCCCTGGTCTCCTCCCTCCCTGCTTAGGGCTCTTTCCAGCACCCTCTGGGGAAGGCTCGAGATGCTCCTCTGGCACCCCTCCTCCAGGCACATCATGTTGTTGTGTCTCCTTCCCACAGGCATCGGGGAAGAAGGTGGGATTCTGCGCACAGTTCTTCCTTTTAATCTGTGTTTCCCAAATTCCCTCAGAGCCATGAAAGCCAACAGACGTTTTAAGGAACAACCATACAAGGCAGGTCAGATGAGGAAATACTGAGTGGCAGGCTGGGATCTGGGATGCTTGTTCCTGCCCCCCACCCCCACCCCATCTATATTAGAACTTGGGGCTTGGAAGAAGCCCAGTTCCGTTCCCTGTGTGACCTCGGGCAAGTGGGCTCCCCTCCTTCGAGCCCCAGCTTCCTCACCTTGCTGCCCACGGTGGGGTTGCGTCAGGCAGTCCCTGACCCTCTCACTTCTGGGGCTGCCTGAAAAGGAGCTTCGCTTTTGTCCTTTGGGCTTGGCAGGGGGAGCCCGGATCCGAATCAGGCCTTTAGGAAACAACCAAAGGGGCTGCCTAAGAGGGTCCAGGTTAGAACCAGGCGGGTCTTTGCTCTTGGCACATCTCCGTCTCTTGTCAGCTTACCTCTGACCTTCCCCTTACTGGCACCCCTCGTGCTTTAGTGATAGCAGCTTCCTTGGGCTAGAGCCGCACGGCTGCTGGGTCCCCAGCCGAGGGGAAGCAGATTACCCCCATTTTACAGGTGGGGCTCAAGAGGTCAACTGACTTGCTGAGCAAACCCAGCTGAGAAGGGTGGAGGCCTCGATGGGAACCCAGATAGGCCTGACTCCAAGGGCTGTGCTCAGGCCCCTCTTGGCCCTCGTTTTCCTGGGCTTGTCCTCTGCCACCTGTGTTCTGCAGGCTCAGGCCCATCTACATGCGGACTTTCTCTGGGCAGTGCCCCAAGGTGTCAGGGAGATGTCCTTGAATGAGGGACCTTTTGCTGCTTAGGAACACTTGGAGTATAGGAGAAGGGTGAGGGAGAGTAAGAGAAAAGAGGAAACTGGTGTGGGTATATAAAATAATGGGGCAGGTGGGCACAGCCAGGGCCTTGGCTCAAGTTCCAGCAAATTCTGGGGGGATGTGCATGGGACAGAGCAGAGGCAGCCTGGTACATGGCTTTGGAGTCAGACAATGCCGGGTTCAGACTCTGGCTGTGCCTATGTCTGTGTGACCTTGGGAATGTGTCTTACCCTCTCTGAGCCTCCATTTCTCATCTGCCAAGAGAGATTGCCAATACTGATGCTGCAGAACTGATGAGCACGTGATAGGCCCAGTGCAGGCATTCTGTTCAAGGTCCTTCCTTGCTTTTCTCTGCCTTGTAGGTAGTGAGATTCTTCCTCGTGTGTTCTGTGAACTCAGCAGGGCCTGGCTCCTGTTGCTGGGGGAGGTGGATAGGGTTCAGGAGACTCTGGGCTGCCCCACCTCTGCCTTAGGTAGAGCTCAGCTTGGCTTCCCTTCCTCTCCCTGCTCCTGGTATTTCTTCTTGAGGGTCCTGAGATGGACAACCTCAATCAGGATCGACAATGACCTTGGAGCTCACCAGGTCCCACCTGCTTTAGCTGTTATAATGGGGGTTGGAGGTGCTGGAAGACTCAGTGAGGTGATGAATGTTGGGGTTCAGCCCAGGGCATGTGGGAGGTCTCAGTGAATGACCAGGCCTTTTTCTAGAGACCAGATGGGTTACCCTAGAATCTAGGATCTCACCAGCTGAGAGATTAGAAAAAAGAATATTCCAGTGAGACTTCAGGAGGAATGAGCAGGGAAGTGTTTGGATCGTGTCCGGGTCTGGGTAGGGGTGGAAGAGAGTGGCATCATATCCAGGCTCCTCAAACCCAGGAGCAGGTCTCCTAAAATCACTCCAGGAAGACTTCCTGGAGGAGGCTGGAGTGGGGAGGGAAACTGATAGCAGGAAGAGCTGTCACCACCACCCACACCTGTCAGCCCAGCTGTGCTCAGCAGCAGTTAGTCTCAGCCCTGCTAAGCATGACCTCACTGTCGAAGGTTAAAATAGACTTCTCTGTCCCAACCAGCTTAGGGGTGTCTGGGTGGTTGGGGAAGAGGGAGAGGAAGGAAATGGGCTCAGCGGCCCCCAGAAGGGTGTGTCAAGGAAGCGGCCAAACCTGGATTTCAGAGAGGGGACTCTGCATTTTCTGAACACCTCCTGGGCCTGAGCCACAGGGTGGCTCCCTGATTCCTTACAATGATCCCTGAAGGTAGGTGATTTCTGCCTCATTTTACAGAGGAGGAAACTGAGGCTCCTAGATGCAGAGTACTTCCCCAAGTCACACGCATACATGGGGAGTCCGTGAAGGAGCTGGGAGGTTCAAGTCCAGGCTGGCTTATGCCCCAGTGCCCCAGTGCCCTAGCCCTGCCCCTCCCCAGCCCTAACCAGGAGAGAGGCCCCTTCCGGGCCAGTGCCGCTTCGGGGCCTAATTGGGGCCTGGTGGCAGTGGGGTGGAGAAGAGCAGATGGGTCTGTGGTTTGATTTCCCCAGCAGGTGTTTCCCAAGCTTGGCGGGAACAGGCAGGGGGAGCAGGCGGACCTCAGCTGTTTGTCCTTGAGAAGCAGGGGAAGGATTCATTGTCTGCCCCTCTCAGCAAAGAAAGAATGGCAAATGGAGTCTATTCAGGAGGCCCTGGGGCCCTTGAGCTGGAGCCCAAACATGGGGGTGGGGAGTGTTTGCTCTGCTTCCCGAAGTGGGCACCTCCCTGGGGTGTGGCACTGAGCCAGGAAGTCCCCTGGGCCTGGGCGGATGCCCAGCCCCACCCTGATAAGGGCCAGCTGTGGGGCTGTGATGGGCACCAGGGCAGGCTGGGTCAGCTGCATTTGCACTTGGTGAGGCGGGAGGCTCTCCCCAGCCTGGTGTGGTTTAGCTCCTACCCACTCCTTCCTCCCTGCATCATCCTCTGGGCATGGGGGCTGGAGGATGGTGCCCACAGAAGTGACCTTGGGAACCCCGAGCTCTCAGCTAGACTGGCTTCGGTAGTCAGGAGCACAGACCTCAGGACAGGAGTGTCGTGTGCTCTTCAGAAAACAGGATTCCCTGCGGCACTTGGCTGCCTTGGGCTGTGGAGCATGTGGTGTGACTATTGATCTCAGAGTTTGGGTTCGAGCCCCATGCTGGATATAGAGATTACTTAAAAAATAAAATTTTAAGAAAAAACAAAGTAAAGAAAAAAATGGGATTTCTGTCCTGTAAAAGCTTGCTTTTCGAGTCACTGCTGTTTCCTTACCAAGTGCAATGATGTTTCACCAGGACTGGTGGTAAACTGAGGCACAGAAAGTAGCTGCTGGTGACCCCCATGCTTTGGCCCCAACTAGGGGAAAGGCTGAAGGAAGAATGATTCTCAAACTCTGTCTCTCTCTCTCTCCTTTCTCCAAGGCCAAAAGGAAGCTGGACCTGGAGGGGATCGGGAGGCCAGCAGCCCCTGAATTCCGGACCCCCAAGGGGAAGTGCATTAGACTGGACGGCCTCCCCAGCCCCAGAAGTAAGCCTTGCCGATGGGGCATCTGAGGGTGGGCCCAGGATGGGGGATGGGTAAGGGCAGAGGGCAGCAGCCCTGCCCAAACCGTGAGTGATATTGGTAGCACACTTCCCAGTTTACAAAGTAGTTTCCTCTCTGTTCTGTCACGGGACCCTGCGAGGAGGTAGCTCTGTCCCCCTTTCAACAATGAGGTGACTTGAGACTCAGAGCTTGAGTGACTTGCCCAAGGTCCCATTGCTGGTAAGGGGGGTCAGGACTCACACCCAAGCCAGCACGGCTTCTCCCACACCATACGCCCACTCTCGTGACCTGAACGCGACGAGTGTTTTACTTGGGAGCTTACTATTTTTAAAAAAAAATTACATTTTGTTTAGTCAGACCTTTTCTAAAAGAGAGAATCCAGGGTCTTTCTCCCACATGCAGAGGGCTAATGAGTGACTCAAAGGGAAGTGACACTTAGGTTAGTCTAACCCGTGTGGCCTCAGGTTTTTCAGGTCCAGGGGCTGCCCAGGTGGTACCTTCCTAAAGTGAAGCTACAGGGAATCTCTGCCTCTGCCTGCTGGTATTTTCAGTCAATATCCTGGTTCCAGCCGGAGATTTAGAAGCTATGTCAGTGAGGAACAGTGATGGGGGCGGGGGGGAGGTCAGAGACCTAATGAAGAAGGTAGGTGACTGGGTGGGAAACAGAGTCAGGAATTTGGGGGTCTGGGGGCGCCTGGGTGGCTCAATCTGTTAAGTGTCAAGTGTCCAACTTCAGCTCAGGTCATGATCTCATGGTTCATGGGTTCGAGCCCCCTCTTGGCCTCTGTGCTGACAGCTCAGAGCCTGGAGCTGCTTCAGAGTCTGTGTTTCCCTCTCTCTCTCTGCCCCTCTCCCGCTCGCACTCTCTGTCTCTCAAAAAAATTAATAAACATTAAAAAAATTTTTTAATAAAAAAAAGGATCTGGTGGTCTGGACAGGGCTCTGCCCTGACCTGACTAGTCACTCCTCTTATAAGCTTCAGTTGCCTATTCTGTAAAATGAAATACAGATCGGGAATCGCAAGACAGTCTGTCCTCCTTTGATTGGTAGAGGCTGCTGGGGTCATTTTATTGAAACGTACTAAGTGCACTGGTCAATTAGTGATGTCTGTCGGGTGCAAAACCTGACAAAACCAGCCCGTGTGTCAAATGCTGGCCCTCCGTATGTTAGGGGATTTTACAGTCCCCTTCTGGAGGAATCTGAGATTCTCCAAAACTCAGTTTCCAGAACTAGTTTGGCCACTAGCTTGCTATATGACTTGCAAGTCACTTGATTGCAGAAGTCTTCTTGTGGTTTCAGACGCTGCCACTGAGATGTGGCCTTGGGACACCAGCCCCATGAAGAAAGAATCTTTGCTCACAAACCTGCCCCATTCGATATTATAGGGCTGGTTCCTTTCAGATAATCATTGGGCTGCACATGGGGAAAAGAAAAAAAGCAAATCCTTAAAAATGTTCTCGAATCCCAGCCCATTATTCTCTCCCTACCATGATTCTGAATTCCTGACGTAGCTGTCAGGACAGGGGAATGGTTAAGAGGGAAGACTACGGAGCCGGACCGCCCGGATTTAAATCAGCTTTGTGAATTTTTATTTTTTTAATGTTTTATTTATTTCTAGGAGAGAGAGAGAGAGACAGGGTGAGCAGGGGAGGGTCAGAGAGAGAAGGAGTCACAGACTCTGAAACAGGCTCCAGACTCTGAGCTGGCAGTCAGCACAGAGCCCGACGCAGGGCTCGAACCCGCGAACCGCGAGATCATGACCTAAGCGAAAGTCGGACGCTTAACCGACTAAGCCACCCAGGCGCCCCATGCTTTGTGAATTTTTAGCTGACTGAGCTGAGCAAGCCTCTTCACCTGTCTGTTCTTAAGTATTCTCATCCATAAAATGGGATGGTTGTACACCACTCTTAGACGGTGTTGTAAGGATTGGATTTGTTCACATGGAAAGTTGTTTAGAACAGTGAGCAACACGCGGTAACTATTTGGTGGTGGTGGTGGTGGTGGTGGTAGTATGGCTGTCCCCAGCTGGCATGGATAGGTGCTCTGGACTAGGAATTAGGATGCCTGGTTTCCAGCCGTGCCCCTGCCCCTGACTGTGAGACCTTAAACAAGTCACGTGCCCTCTCTAGGCACCAGGTTCCCTGCCCAGACAGTGGCGCCAATGATGCCCTGCATCACAGTGCTTTGTAAACTGGAAAGTGGATGCTCCTGCGTCCATGTGAAGGGTGGTACTTATGGGGTCCAGATCAATGGATGAAGTTCCTCTGAGCAGTGACTGGGCCCCTTTCCTCTTAGCCCCCAAGTCCCCCGGGGAGAAGACTCGGTACGACACATCGCTGGGGCTCCTCACCAAGAAGTTCATTTACCTCTTGAGCGAATCCAAGGACGGCGTGCTGGACCTGAACTGGGCTGCGGAGGTGCTGGCCGTGCAGAAGCGGCGCATCTATGACATCACCAACGTGCTGGAGGGCATTCAGCTCATCCGGAAGAAGGCCAAGAACAACATCCAGTGGGTGTGAGTGCCTGGGCTGGGGCCGGTGGGTGCACGTGTGCGGGTGAAGGTGCGGGGTGCCCAGCATCCAGTGGATGTGTCGGGGCCGGAGCTCGGGACAGCGTCTGATAGGCTTGCTTAGCTGCTGGGAGCAGAGCCAATGTATTTAAGGGGGAGGCGGGAGGGCGGATATATATGCCGGAAATATATTGGGAAAGCATGTTAGGGGCAGGGTGGGAACGACTTCTAGGACGCCTAAAGGCCTGAGAGGACCCAGATCCTCTTGCATTGGGATCCCAAAGATTCCCCTCTTCCAGCTTCGGAAAGTCCCCTGGGGGCTGGGCCGTAGCACCCCACAGTCCTTGCAGCCCTGAAATAGGGCTGCTCCAGGCTCCTTTCCTCCTACAAATTGCAGAGCAGACCTGCAGGCCCTGGCATGACCCTAAGAGAACCCAGGCGAGGCATGTGGGCGAGGCGGGGGCATAGGCGTTGAGAGCCCCCCAAAGTGGGCCAGGCTTGGTTTCTTTTCCCTAGCCCAACCCTCGAACCACAAGTTCCAGTCCTAGCAGCCCTCCGGCAGTGGCAGCGAGGCAGGGCCCCTGATTTGCACAGCCCAGGGGGTACCATTGTAGACGTGTGAGTGGCCTCATCCCGGGGTTTTGCCCCACAGCCCCGGGGTTGGGGCTCCTGGATGTGCACTGACACTGACACCGGGGGGCGGCTCTGTTCCCAGAGGCAGGGGAATGTTTGAAGACCCGAGCCGGCCTGGGAAGCAGCAGCAGCTGGGGCAAGAGCTGAAGGAGCTGACCAGCACCGAGCAGGCCTTGGACCAGCTCATCCAGACCTGCTCTCTGAACTTCAAGCACCTGACCGAGGACAAGGCCAACAAGAGATATCCTGTTTGGTGGGGGGAAGAGGTCAGGGAGCAGGGCCCAGTCGCATGCCCATGTGTGTCCGGGGATAAGGCAGTACCTCCCTGCAAGGGCGAACTCAGCCTCAGGGGCTGGCCTGTCTGTTTCCTCCTTCCTTGGTGGCTTTTCCTCACAAGCCTATCGAAGTTAGTCTCGTTATAAAAGTAAGTCCAGTTCTGTAAATCTGGAAAATGGAGAAAAGAACTAGGTGCCACCTTAATGTAGTCATTGTGTCTCAGTATACACAGGGCATATGTTGTTAAATATCGCATGTGCCTGCTATACGTAACTTTTTTTAAGTGTTTATTTTTGAGAGGGGGAAAGAGAGAGAATCCTAAGCAGGCTCCATACAGCCAGCGAGGAGCCCAATGTGGGGCTCAAACTCATGAATCGCCAGATCATGACCTGAGCTGAGGTCTGACATTTGACTGACTGAACCACCCAGGTGTGCATACATCACATTTTATATCCTGCTTTCTATCACCACAGACCGTTTTTATGCTGTTACAAATCCTTCCTAACTATTTGCTTGATCCATGAAATTGTTGCTATTGGACCATTTTTTGCAAAGCAGCAATCTCATGTGACTTAACCTCATATTCAGACTGATTTGAGAATGCCCTACTCAGACCACATTCTGGTTTGTTGAGAAGGCCTAGAATCAACATTTAGATCGATTTGAGGTTTCTGCTTTTTAAAAAAAATTTTTTTTAATGTTTTACTTATTTTTGAGAGAAAGATAGACAGCGTGAGCAGGGGAGGGTCAGAGAGAGAGGGAGACACAGAATCTGAAACAGGCTCCAGGCTCTGAGCTGTCAGCACAGAGCCTGAAGCGGGGCTCGAACCCACGAACTGTGAGATCATGACCTGAGCCGAAGTCGGACGCTCAACTGACTGAGCCACCCAGGCGCCCTGAGATTTCTACTTTTATCAAGCAGCATCATGATGAATATCTTTGTATAGAGAACATTTTGCTATATTTTTTTACTTAGTTCCCTAGGTTGGGTTCCTAGGACTGAAATGACAAACATGGGCTTTGCTAAGGTTTTTCATACACTTTTCCCAGTTAGGTGGCTCCATCATCTAATTGATTTTTGGAACTGACCTTGTATTTTTGGAAGGCATTGTGAAAAATATAAAGACATAAGACAAGTCTTCCTCCTGTCTGAGAGTTAATGATTTAGTCTGAGATGAAGTCCTTACATAAAAAACTGATATGAGGCAACATTTAAAAAATGATTTATACTCCTGTTTGTTTTCCAAAGGGATACAAGGTAGCTTATGATATTAACAGGTTACGGTTTTGGGTTATTTCTAAGCTGTAGAAGGACTGAGAAGGAGATGTTCAAAGGTTCAGGCTGGGAGGTTTGAATTGTGACCAGCTACTTCTCTTGACTCTCCTGCCCCTACACTGGCCTATGTGACTTACCAGGACATCCGTGCTGTTGGCAGCTTCAAGGAGCAGACAGTGATTGCTGTCAAGGCCCCTCCGCAGACAAGACTGGAAGTGCCTGACAGGAGCGAGGTCAGAGGGGAAGAAGCCTTTGGTGGAAGGCAGCGTTAGGAGGGTCCTGGGCTGCTGTGTAGGCTCTGTCCCTGGTGCTGCCCGGCCTCAAGCCTCCCAGGTCCGCTCTGGCGCCCACTGCAAGATCCGTGGTATCCGAGCTCGAGCAGAAATGGCAGAAGCTGGGAAGGGCAACAGGCATCAGATACTGGCCCAAGAAAATCTCCGTTCCTGGTATCTTTCTGCGTCCCATGGCCCCCGGCATTTCTGGGCACATGCACACATGTGCCCACACACCGCGTTAGCGCTCACAGTAATCCTTTCCTGCTAACCGTGCTTGCCGAGGTTAAAGACCAGAAATTCTTAATACTTGCTTACAAGGTCCTCTGTGCTCTGCCCTCACTGACCTCTCCTGTGCTTCCCTGCTGTGTCTCTGCCTCAGCTACACTGACTTACCTGCAGTTTCCCCACCACGCTAAGCTCATCCCTGGTATGAGACCTTCACACATGCTGTTCCCTGCAGCTGAAATGCTCTTCTCTTCCTCTGCCTGGTTTGCTGCTGTTCATCCTACTGGTCTCAACTCAAACCATCACTTCCTCAAGGAAGCCTTCCCTGATCACCCCCCCCCCCCAGGTTTCATAACTACCCGTGCTTTTCTACCATACTTGACCTCCGTTTGCTGGGATATATTGATGATTCTGTGATTCTGCTTCACCTATTGAAGTGTGAGCTCCATGAAAGCATGTGGTTAACCCCCACCCCACAGCCCAGAGCTGGACACATAATAAACGCTCAAGAAATAATTTGTTTAATGGAAGGACATAAGGTAAAGGGGGCTCCACCCCTGCCTTGGAGGAGCTCAGGACCTAGTGGGAAAAAGACCCAAGCAAGCAGTCATGCTGCCATGTATTGACTTAAGGTGTCCAGAGAAAGGGCAGTTGGAGGAAGAGCCCATAGATGGTCACAGGTTTATTGGGTCCTAAAGAATGAACAGGACTTGTCCTGAGAAATGGGTAGACAGAGGGCACTGCAGGTGCACCAGGTGGAGATCTCAATGCCTGTTGGAATAGCGCGTGTGCAGTCAATCGTGGGAGGGAAGAAGCTGGGGGCGGGGGGAGGCCAAGTATCAGGACTCTTGATTAGTTACAAGTAACCACATCCAAATGGCTTAAGTCAGGGGCGGGGGTAAAGGGTGGAGGGGACTGAGGGGAAGCAAGTGACAGGCCCAGAGGAAGAAGGTCCAGAGGAAGACTTGGGGATTGCAGGCAAGGCCAGATGCAGGAGCTCAAACTATGACTTTCATTTCACCCCATGCTCTCTGTCTTTCTCTGCCATTCTTTGCGCTTCCATTCCCAGGCGGGCTCCCCTCTTCCAGTGGCGAAGCTATTTTCATGATAACCAGCTTGGTGACCCCCATGGGAAGGGAGCTTCTGTTTCCCACAAGTCCGGCTCGAGTCCAGGGCCCGATACTACTGGACTAACTTGAGTCATGCGCTACCCTGAGCCAGTCACCATCACGGTGGCTTTCCCAGCCTGCCCCCCCAGCTCACCCACTGGAGTTGAGAAGAGTGCCAACGCCCCAGAGTACATAACTCGAGAGTGGGAGAGGAGAGGAGTAGTTTCCCAAAGGAAAATCAAGATATTCTCCCTAAAAGAAGGGAACCTGGGGGCCAGACAGGCAGAAAGAGCAGATAGATGCCCACCATAGGTCAGAAGGGTGGGTGTCAGCGCCATGCTCAGGGGTCGGGCTTGTTGCATGGATGGTGGGAGCCATAGGTGTCCATTCATACACCCCACCCCGACCTTTGAGTCTGTGCCCAGCTGCCCAGAGTCCAGAGCCATGACCTGGCTTCTCTTCCTCCAGGAGAACTTGCAGATATACCTGAAGAGCACGCAGGGGCCCATCGAAGTCTACCTGTGCCCAGAGGAGATGCAGGAGCCAGAGAGTCCAACCAAGGAGCCCCTCCCCTCCACCTCCGCCCTCAGCCCCGCCCCCGACTCCACCCATCCCAGCAGCAGCACTGACCCTGGGATGACACAACCCATGGCATCCCCAGGTAGGACCCTTTGTCCAGACAGATGGGAGGTGGGGCCAGCAACCAGCCTTAGCATTTCCTCTTCCATGTCAACGTTTGTTGGGCAGCGAAGAGGGGCACAGTCCTTCTGCCCCACTTGTGTGCTTGCACTTCACAGTGTATAGAGAACGTGCCGTGTGTGTTCTCGTATCAGTGGGGAGGCTGATGGTGCTCTGCGCTGGAGGGGTCCTGGGTCTGAATACCAGCGCTTCCAGTTCCCAGCTGTGTGACCTTGGATGAGTCACTTGACCTCTCTTTGCCTCAATTTCCTCATCTGTAAGTTGGGCATAGTAACTAACAGTATCTACTTAGTAGGTTGTGAGAACTGGAGGAACGAATATAGGCAAAGCACTTAAATGGTGCCTGGCAGTAACGGCTAGCTGTTCTTGTCATTATCACTGCCACTTCTTCTGTGCGCCACACTTCTGTGATGACCACGAACAGCAAAGCCCCTGGCACTCAGTAAGCCCACAGTAAATGGGAACCACAGATTTTTGAAGGATGGCTCAACTAAGATTTTGTAAAATTAATTAATTATCTATTTATTTATTTTGAGAGAGAGACAGTGTGAGCAGGGGAGGGACAGAGGGAGAGAGGGAATCCCAAGCAGGCTCCGTGCTGTCAGCACAGAGCTTGACATGGGGCCCAATCTTACAACCAGGAGGTTGTGACCTGAGCCGAAATCAAGAGTTGGAGGCTTAACTGACTCAGCCACCCAGGCGCCCCTAAGAGTTTTTTTAAGTTTATTTTGTTCATTTTGAGAGAAGGAGCATGAGTGGGAAAGGGGCAGAGAGAGAGTGAGAGAGAATCCCAAGCAGGCTCTGTGCTGTCAACAAGGAGCCTGATTTGGCACTTGATCTCATGAACTGTGAGAACATGACCTGAGCCAAAATCAGGAGTTAGATGCTTAACCAACTGGGCCACCCAGATGCCCCTAAGATTTTTGAAATCAGTTAATTAATTTTATCTTGTATTTATTTTATTAATTTTTCTTTATAACTAAGGTTTTTAATTTTTTATTAAAAGGTTTTAAATGTTTATTTATTTTTGAGAGAGACACACAGAAAGTGTGAGAGAGAGACACACACACAGAGAATGCGAAGCAGCTCCAGGCTCTGAGCGGTCAGCACAGAACCTGATGCGGGGCTCGAACCCACAAACTGCGAGATCCTGACCTGAGCCCAAGTCGGAGGCTTAACCAACTGAGCCACCCAGGCGCCCATAACTAAGAGTTTTTAAACCACAGCTGTGTATCAGATACATCTATTATCATGTTACTCTTCACAGCCATTCTTGAGGTAGGTGTTCTTGTCCCCAGCTTAGAGATAAATAAACCGAGGCAGAGAGATGATGTGACTCCCCATGTCCTCTCCCCATGAGGCTCAGAACAAATCTAGAAAGGGGTTCCTGACCGGAGAGGCTCACCCCTCGCCTGGTGTATAGCTGATAAAAGCTGGCTATACCTGGCCGGAAGTAGCATGAGCTCAGTCATGAGCAAAGAGGCAGGAGAAGTCCCAGGGAAGGAGTCCGGAAGGAGAAATCGGAGCCTGGGCAGGTCCTTCCTCCAGGATGGTTTATGCCCTTTAATGGGATCACACATCAGGTCAGGCTGACAGATCCTTTGAGGTCATGGAGGCCAGTGTTCAACTTTGTTTTCTTAGCAGCAGAATTCCCTTAAGTGTTTAAAGAAACCAGAGCTCAAACTGGTCTGACGGAAGAGGCTTGGTGGGGTGTCCACAGACCAGAAATGAATTCCATTTCTTTCGCTCAAAGGGTCACAGACTGTTGCCTGCAGGCCAAATCTGGCCTGTTTTTAGGCAGAGCATGAACTAAGAATGTTTTTCACATTTCTGAAGAGTTGGGGGAGAGGAAGAAAGTGACTGTGACAGAGATTGTAAGCGTCCCGCAAATCTTAAAATACCTAAAATACAGAAGTTTGCAGGGCCCTGATCTAACTCAGCCCTTCATCTTACATGTGAATAAACTGAAGCTCAGAGAGGGCAAGTGACTTCCCTAAGGTTACACAGCAAGTTGGCAGCGGAGCTTGGACAAGAGCCCAGACCCCCAGCTCTTCTCCGGTGATCTCTCCTGTGTCCTGGTCTAGTCTGGGGATCCGGGCTTCTCCCGGCACCAGCCATCTGTCCCTCTGGGCACCTCCCAGTGCCTATCTCCCACTCCAGACCCATGCCCCACCCTGTTTTCCCTCCTCCTCCGCTCTGCTTTCTCACTCCACTGTCAACATGTGCCCAGCTCTCCTGAGTTAGAACCACTTTCACTTCAGATGTCCCCTGAGACTCGGGTCAGAGGTGGGGGACCCTCCAGCATAAGCAAGGGCGAGGTTTTTACCTCAGTTTTGCAGATCAGCTGCGCTCCCAGAAGGAGTAGGAGCTGACAGAGCAGTTGGTGGCAGGGCCAGCCCAGAAACGACCCATGCCATGCGGTCTCTTAGCGACAGCCTCTGCGGAAGGGAGACGGAGGGCGTTTTCTGGAAGGTATACACGCACGCATGCGCGCACACTCCAGGTTCTGGCCTGAAGCAGAATCATTTTGAGGTCTGAGCAGCAGGGTCCACATCCAAAGAGGAGGCTACTACGGTCCTGGGACCCAGCTTCTGGGATCATGACGGGGAATCTGACTCATTGGGGCCTCAGTTTCCCTCGTCTGTAACGGAAGGGCTTTGGAGGAGAGTGGCCTCTAACATCTCCCGCCTCTGACGTTCTGAGGTAAACCTAAATGGAGCTGCGGCGCGGGGTTGGCACCGAGGGACGCGGACTTGAGTCTGCACCTCACCTGCTGTGACTTGGTGGCTGTAGGCGAGTCACTTTGGCCCCTCGCGGCCACCGTTCTCACGTCTCGAAAACTGGGACCCTTAAAACTCCCTCACGATTCCTGGGTGGCTTACAGAGAGTGACACAGTGTGAATGTGATTTTGGAAAGAGCTGCTGCGCCCCGGGCGCCCACTGTGTGCGGGTTGGAGATACAGAAGCGAGGCCGAGCCCTCAGAGTGGGCGGAGGCCCGGATGTGATCAAGGCCAACCCCTCCTGCGGTGATAACCGTGGGAGAGCAAGGCCCGGCGTGGGCGGCCGCTGTCACGCTGTCCTGCTCCGCAGCCAGCGAGCTGGAGCCTTATTCTTCCTCTCGAGAAAACCGGGGCCGCGGCTGGTGAGGTGGGCGGGTCTGGGGTGCTCCCCACCCCCGCCGCCCCCTCCTCCCCAGCCAGGCCTTTTACTAGAACACCTGCAGGCCTCTGCAGCACGCAAAGAAATATATCATGGCTTTTTCATTCAGACATGTTTAATTGACTTCTTTGAGCCTCAGTTTCCTCATCTGTAGATAGGGGTCACAATATTGCCTCCTTTGGGGCCACGTGAGTGTCCGAGGAGGTGAAACCCACCTCCTCCTGAGAGCAGAGCTTGGCACCATAAGCGCTTGGTAAATGAGGGCAGCACGCAGACAAGTTCTTCCATATTTGCACTTACCAGTGAGTCCTCTCAATGACCCTGTGACGTGGGTATAATCACCCCCATTTTAGAGGTGAGGAAACAGAGGCTCATCTACATTAGGTCACCCACCCATAGATACACAGAGTAAGCGGTTGGTCAGGCAGCTGTATTTTCCAAGGAATGCTTGGTTGGGGTTTAAGGCATGACTCCAACTGAGATTCTGGGCGTCAGGATATATTTGAGGGGGTTTCCTCATCCCTGTGTCGGAAGTCACCTTCTTACATGCATTTGATGTGCTGGAAAATAGCTGGGGCCAGTGTGGCTGGAGAGGCTGAGTGAGTGGAGCGAGGCTGGGACAGAGGGAATAGAAAGGCGGGGAGGGGCCAGATCACGCAGAGCCTTCTTGGCACTGGTTGAACTTGGATTTTATTCCCAGCCATTTAAAAAAAAATTGTTTTTAATGCTTATTTATTTGTTTTCAGAGAAGGAGGGAGGGGCAGAGAGGGAGAGAAAGAAAGAATCCCAAGCAGGCTCTGGGCTACCAGTGCATAGTTTGACGTGAGGCTTGAATTCACAAACCAGGAGATCATGACCTGAGCTGAAATCAAGGGTTGGATGCTTAAGCAACTGAGCCACCAAGGTGTGCCAGTTCCCAGCCATTTAAAAAAATTTTTTTGAAAGTTTATTCATTTTTGAGAGAGAGAGAGAGACGGCGTGAGCAGGGGAGGGACAGAGAGAGAGGGAGACACAGAATCAGAAGCAGGCTCCAGGCTCTGAGCTGACTGTCAGCACAGAGCCCGATGCGGGGCTTGAACCCACTAACCGTGAGATCGTGACCTGAGCTTAAGTTGGACACTTGACCAACTGAGCCCCCCAGGCAACCCCCGCCATTAAGAAAAAATTTTTTAATGTTCATTTATTTTTGAGAGAGAGCCAATGAGAGCCAGGAAGGAGCAGAGAGAGAGAGAGAGATAGACACAGAATCGAAAGCAGGCTCCAGGCTCCGAGCTGTCAGTACAGAGCCCGATGTGGGGCTTGAACTCACGAACTGTGAGATCATGACCTGAGCTGAAGTCAGATGTTTAACCGACAGAGCCCCCCAGGTGCCCCTGCCCCCAGCCACTTTTAAGCTAGAGCACAGACTTCAAGGGTCAAGGCAAGCTGACTGGTAAGGAGGCCCCAGCCGTGGACTGAAGGGAAATGGGCAGCTGACAGAATTCATTCGGTTGTGGAAATGACTGGTCTCACTGCTGGGCTGGGCGCTGGGGAAATGGCGGGATTGCGTGTGATTCTCGGGCCTTTTGGCCCAGGCAGCTGAGTGGGTGGTGGTCCATTCACTTAGGGGGAAAGACCGGGAGTTAGGTTTTGACACGCTAAGTTCTGGGGTAGCAGGAGATGTGCAGCCAGACAGGGGAGTCTGAGGCTGGAGCCCTGGGGCGTTCAGGGCTTAGAAGTTAGGAAGAGGAGGAGGATCCAGAGCAAAGGGGACAGGAGAAGTAGATAAGGAGGTAAGAAGAAAACCAGGATAGTCTAGTGGACTGGAGCCAAGTGAAGAAGGTGTTTCCAGAAGGACGTAGATAACAGCACCAGATTCTGCTCGAAGGTCAAATACGATGAGGCCAAGAACCGACCATTGAGGGGCGCCTGGGTGGCTCAGTCGGTTAAGTGTCCAACTTCAGTTCAGGTCATGATCTCACGGTTCGTGGGTTCAAGCCCCGCATCGGGCTCTGTGCTGACAGCTAGCTCAGATCTGTAGCCTGCTTCAGATTCTGTATCTCCCTCTCTCTCTCCGACCCTCCCCTGCTCACGCTGTGTGTCTCTCTCTCAGAAATAAAATTTAAAAAAAAAAACATTAAAAAAAAAGAACCGACCATTGGTTTAGCAATATGAGGTCACTGGTTCAGTGGCGTGGTGGGGCCAGAGCTCAGGTTGGAGTGGGTGGGAGAGTGAAGAATGGTGGGCAAGTAGAGGATGGGCACAGGAAATTCTTGAGAAATTTGCCGTGAAAAGGAGCGATACACTGGGCTGGGAATTGGAGAGAGTTATGAGGTCGGAAGGATGCTTTTTAAAGATAGGAGTCGTCATCGCTTCTCGGCCTTTTGGCTAAGATCAAGCGCAGTATCTGTTCTTAGCAGTTTAATAAAGCTAGGAGTCATTAGAGTGTGTCTGTGTGATGATGGGAATGATCTGGGAGAGAGAGAAACTGGTGATGCAGGAAACAGAGAATGTGGTTTCAGGGTCCAGGAACTTGATGGTGGGGGAGGGGTAGGGTTTTTTTTTTGTTTTTTTTTAAGATTTTTATTTTTAAGTAATCTCTACACCCAACGTGGGGCTCGAACTTAGAACCCCAAGATCAAGAGTCAAGTGTCGCATGCTCTACCGAGTGAGCTAGCCAGCACCCCGAGGGGATAGGGTTTTGAGAGCAGGAGCTCCCATCTCCTTGGAGAGGAGGGGGAGAGGGCGGGAAAGTGGGGGCCGTGGCCAGAGCTTGACCAGGAAAGGGCATCAGAAGGGCGCACCACCATCCGACCATCCAGAGAATGGGAGGGCTGTTCTTATGCTCCGAGGTCTGAGCAGACTCTTGCGGGCACCAGGTCCCCGTATGACCTTTGTCTGCTTGTCCCCAGGCCCAGCGCTGACTCCCCAGCCGGCCCTGCAGCCGCCACCACTGCCACCGCCACTTGTGCCCCTGGAGGCCACCGACAGCATGCTGGAGCTGCCACACCCCCTCCTGCAGCAGACTGAGGACCAGTTCCTGTCCCCCACCCTGCCATGCAGCTCCCCCCTGATCAGCTTCTCCCCACCCTTGGACCAGGATGACTACCTGTGGGGCCTGGATGGGGGTGAAGGCATCAGTGACCTCTTTGACTCCTACGACCTCGGGGACCTGCTGATTAACTGAGTGGCCCTGCCTGCCCCCGGCAGCCCACCCCCGTCTCTACCTCCTCACAGACTGGCAGGCCCTCCGCCCGCACGGGGATGTGGGATGCAAGGTGCTGCCTTCAGGGTACGGGGCTTTCTTTCCTCCTTTCGTACCCCCCCAGCTGGCTGAAGCTGTCTGGGGGGGGGAGGATGTGGCCCGCGTAGAGGATCTGGGTGAGGAGTGTCTCAGAGATTGGGTCCTCTCCTTCCTAACGGAAGCAGAGCCTGGAAGGTCCATCTGGCCTCTGACCTCTGACCTCTCACGCGAAGAGCCACAGGTGAGGCGACCAGGTCCAGGGAAAGGGCCCTGCACCCCCCCCCCACCTTTTGAGGGGGAATTAGGACCCTGAGTTTATCGAGAAGCACTTAATGCCTTCGTATTTATTTCAGGTTGAGTTTTGTGTGTTTCTTCCCTGGGTGTTTAGCAGGGAGATTTTACCCCGTTTCTAGTGAGGCTTCTCAAGATAGGCCCGGCGCCGCCCACAGTCCAGGGCAGGCCGGGGCCCCAGCCAGCTCCCCAGCTTCCCCACAGCGGCGGGCTGGGTCTCTGGAGGGCCGTCCGGTCTGCTGGAACGCTACTTGCACTTAGGCCTCGTGATTCTAGTCAGTGGTGGCCTGCATCCCCGAGGCACTAGCCTCGGGTTCCTGGTCTCTGTCTCTGAGGCGATGGCAGGGAGTCACCCCAGGGGAGGTGGCCTCCAGGCTCCAGTTATGGACATCGACTTCCTGTGGAGTCCCCTACCTCTCCCTCCCCTTAAACATGACAAACAGCCTTCCAGGGGGTCCGCATGGAAGAGCCCCCCCTCCCCAGGAATGTGGAAGCAGCTATCGACTGGGGGGGGGCACCTTTCCTCTGTTTTTGCCTCTTGCTTGGGACAGGTGCTTTCTTACAGGGAGGACCTGGGAGGGAGTGGTAGCCCCCACCCCATAGAGACAGGGGGGATTAAAATAAGAAAATGCCAGAAAGCACCCCCTCTGGTGGCTGCTGGTATAGTCGTCCCCTTCTGTGGAAGGATTTTTTTGATTATTGAAGGGAGTCATTGTGTAAGGACCTCCTCTCCCCGTGGGCTCTCCTACAGACAGACCCTGCCCTCCTTACCCCCCACCTGCCCAGCCAAGGACAGAGGTGACTGGGACTTGGTGGAGTTTTGCCTCCTTTTGTCATAGGAATGCTGAAGGGCTGACAGAAGGACTCTTCACTGCAGACCAGACCTTGGCAGCTGAGGGGGCGATGGACGTACGTTAGCTCTTCAGGCTCAGGGTCCTGAGAAGGTCTCTTGCCCTCCTCCCCACCCGCCTCCCAGAGGCGTCTGGAGACACCACCCCAAGGTGTCTCTGAAGCCCAGTTGGGTGCAGGGGGTGATGAGCACTCCTCCCCACCCAGCCTGGGGTGGGGCTGCTCTGGGCTGAACCAAGGCTGTGCCCTCTGGAGAGAGGCAGCCAGGGATGGTGGTCTAAGAGGCCGACCACCCACCCTCAGGGAGCTAGGTTTCCTCAGGGGCTCAGCTGGGCAGCACTTTGTTTTTTCTTTTTTTAAGTTTGTAGCATTAAGTTGGTTTTAAATATGAAGTTGGCCTCATGGGATTTCTCTTGAGCTGACCAGAAGCTGGCATTGGATGGAAGTCTGGGAGGTAGACTTGTTTGGACTTGGGGTCTGATGTGAGCTACTGCCCACGTGGGGACAGTCGTGCCTTGTCATTTTCTCCACTTCCCGGGCCCCTAACTGCCCTCTCAGTCAGGAGTGGTCAACAGGTCACAGATGCCTGGTGCGGTGAACAGGGCTAATTTTGTATGCTTTGCAGAAATTCTTTTGATCCCCCGCCTCCCCGGATGCTCCCAGCGGGCTCGTCAGAAGTCTGTTTCGAAGCCCAGTGTGTCCAGGGTCAAGGGCCTACCTCGGCCCTTGGGCAGGGGAAGGGAGCGTTGCATGGAATCTAGTTGGGGGCGTGTGGTGCCAGCCGTGGTGTTGCTGTTCTGAGATCTCTGGGCTGCCATTTAGCCATGTCCCGTCTCTGAAGATAGAGACGTTTGACTTATAGGCCTTTGGCTCTGTCTAGAGTGTTCTAGAATTAAGGCAGAGACAAAAGGGAGAAGAGGCCTTCAGGAACCACCAGGAATGAGTTTAATGGCAAAGTCTGGCTGGAATTCCAGCTCATTCCACAAATGCCCAGCCATAGCACTGGATGGACGGGCTGCCCCTTGGGCCCATGGCTTGTATCCTGAGCAGCTGGCCCTGTCCTGTGCTATCCCCTCCACACCCTGCCTGGCCCCCGGGGGCTGGACCGCCGAGGCCAAGCCTCAGGCTGGGGGCAGGGGGCTTAGGAGGGACACAAGCTCATGCCTGATTCTTGCCAGTGACACTTGAAACTTCTCAAGTTCCTTCAAGTGCTTTAAGAATGAATTTTGGCTGGTATTTCCTTTCAGGGCCATGTAAACTTTAAATCTAGTCACTTTCTTCCCGAGGTACGTTATTTCTGTCAGGATGTTTCCCAGCTCTGCCTGGCAGCCTGCAAGTCACCTGTGTCCCCAGAGGCACCAAAGGCTCGGGGGCTCCAGGGACCTGGGTAGCATTAAGTTGTGCAGTAGAGTTGGAGACCCAAAGAGATTTCTTAAAACCGGGGACGTGCTCCCACGTCCCTTCCCTTTGAAAGTGTTCGTTAGGTCAGTGTGGTGTCCCTTCTCCACAGCGGGGCTCTGGTTGGGCTGGTGTAGCTATGGGGGGTGGTGAAGCTCAGAAAGCTGCTTCTGGGAGGGTTTTGACTTTCCTTTCCCTCCCCGAGTTTTCTCAGCCTCAGTTCTGCACAGCGTGTAGTTTTTAGTAAAAGCGTTTGGGTGCTCGCACATCCGAGCATCGTGTGGCTTCAGTGCATTTGAAGTGAAAGCCTTTTGGGGTTGTTTGTGAGCGGCTTTCTGGTTCTCATCGCTGTGTCCCAGGGTCCCCACCTCATCCCGGGATGCTGTTCTCCCATGAGGACCCTTGGTGACCAGAAGCCCAGGCAGCCCGCTGGCTCCTGGGTGAGTGAAGAAGTCTTGTATACGGCACGTGTGTCTCTAGGGTAACCAGCCCCAGGAGAGCCTGGCCCCGTGCTAGAACTCTGTACGGGTCACTTCCCTCTGGTCTGGTTTTCCCCTGGGTCCTGGCTTGATGAGCACCACGTAAACCTCCTTGTGTTGTGATAATCGGGCATTAAATGGGAACTCTGGACACCTTGATTCTTGTGTTTTCTGAAGGTCATTGCCAAGTGTGGGTGTGGGGACTATCCTGACCACCTGCTGCCTTCTCCCCAGAAGCAGCCTCCCTTTCCCACATTGGCTTACTACCATGCCTGAAATGTCACCACTGAGACACTGAAAAGTGAGCAGCGCCCAGATCTAAAGTGTGAGCATCTCCCCTGCTCTGCTTCCTTCACCTCTCGTGGGATTGATTGCACGCTTCCTTAACCTCCTCATTGCTACCCATTCTTCTCCATCCCATCTTCTGTGTCAGCGGTTCTCAAAATGTGGTCCTCTGGCCGGCAGTACCGGAGAACTTAGGAGAAATGCACATTCTCAGGCTCTGCTGCAGACCTTCTGAAACTCAGGGCGGAACCCAGAATCTGTAACAGAGGGAGCCCTTCAGGTGATTCGAATGCAGCTGAAATTTGAGTACTCATGCCCTCCAGCACCCCAGAGAGTTCCTTCTAAAATGCAGGGTTTTTTTTTAATGTTTATTTTTTTTTTTTGAGAAAGAGAGAAGAGACTAGGGGAAGGGCAGAGAGAGGGAGACAGAGGATGCAAAGCAGGCTCTGTGCTGACAGCAGAGAGCCTGACTCGGAACTTGAACTCACAAACGGTGAGATCATGACCTGAGCCAAAGTCAGAGGCTTAAACGACTGAGCCCCGCAGGCGCCCCTAAAGTACAGTTCTGATTGTGTCACTCCTACTTAATGGATGGCTCCTCTCTGCCTTCAGGGCCCCTTCACTTGGCATGAAAGTACATTTACAACATTACGAGTGGCTTACCCTCCCTTTCCACCTCACTGGCCACTCCACCCCGCCACCCATAGCCACACTGGACTTCTTAGATCCGGAAAACATGTTTTTCCTCTGCTGGGTCCTTATGCATACTGTTCCCTCACACAGCATGCCCTTCCCTCCATTTCAGCTGGGCAGCTGCCTGCCTCTTCCGTAAGACCCAGTTCAAGAGTCTTTTTTATAGAGTTTTCTTAGACACTAACATGTAACCTTTAATGTTTTGTACATAGATGTGGTTATTTATGGGTTATTGAACACCTGCTATGTGCTAGGCTCAGAGGAGACAGAAGTAAATAAGAATAGACCCCATCCCTAGGATGTTCATGAGACACAGATGCATAAAAATATACTTACAAACAGGGGCACCTGGGGTGCTCAGTCGGTTAAGCATCCGACATTGGCTCAGGTCATGATCTCACAGTTTGTGGGTTCGAGCCCCGTGTCAGACTCTGTGCTGACAGCTCAGAGCCTGGAGCCTGCCTCGGATTCTCTCTCTCTCTCTCTCTCTCTCTCCCTGACCCTCCTCTGCTCATGCTGTCTCTATTAATAATAAATAAATGTTTAAAAAAAACTTTAAAAAATATACTTACAAATAATGTGATGGTTGCAGTAATATGCGTTATAGGAGTTAGGAGGGTGGTCATTAGGGAGGGCTTCATGGAGGAGGTGATGCCCAAACTACAACTTAAAGGATAAACAGGAGTAGCCTGGAGTGAGGGCATATGGGAGATGGGGGACCTCTCTTTCAAGCAAGGCAATGAATACCTTCTCTCCTGTCACTCAGGAGACCAAAGTGGGCTTCCTGGAGCACTGCCTATTGCCCCAAGCCTGCCAGTTTGGAGCTCTTGCCCTAGGAAAGCCCACTGAGTCAAAGAAGTTGGCACAAATCCTGAGGGCAGTGGGATAGGCAGACTAGGTGTGAGGGTCCTCTTAGACCGTTAGGGGGCTAGCTGACTAATGAGAAGGGTATGGGGCTGGACACCAAGAAGTTAGTTTACCTGGAAGGCATGAAGACAACCTCACCCAGGTAAGTGAGGCAAGGTCTGAAGCCTGGGAGACTAGCAAAGACAAGGGAACATAAAACAGATGTCATGTATTGAGCTTTATGTGTGCCTGGGCCCAGCACCATGCTAAATCCTTCACGCATCATGAGCTCATTGACTTTATGAAGTCAGTGTTATTCTTGACACCACTTTATAAATGAAGAAACAGTTTAAATGAATGCTCAGGTAATCCTCATACTTTGCTCGTGGGAATGTAAAATGGTACAGCCACTTTTGAAAGCATTTTTGGCAGTTCCTCAAAAAGATAAGCTTAAGACTATCATAGGACCCGGTGATTCCACCCTTAGGTGTCTCCTCAAGAGAAATGAAAACATATGTCCATGCAAAGACAAGACTTGCCACATGGGTGTTCATTGTAGCATTATTCATAATAGCCCCAAGCTGGAAACATCTAAATATCCATCAACTGACTCTTCTGAATAGAGTTGCAAAAATTCTCAACAAAATACTAGCAAGCCAAATCCAGCAACGTATAAATAAAAGGACTATACGCCATGGATTTATCCCAGAAATGCGAGTTTGGTTTAAAATCTGAAAATCAACTAAGGTAATGTACCACATTCGTAGAATGAAGGATCAAAACCACATGGTCATCTCAGTAGATGCAGAAAAAACATTTAACAAAATTCCGTACTCCTTCATGATTGAAAACATACACACACACAAACTCATACACTGAAACTAATATAACACCATATGCTAATTATACTAGAATTAAAATAAAAAACTTGAAACCTCAACAAACTCAGGATAGAAGGGAACTTTCTCAACCTGATAAAGAACATCTATGAAAAACCGGCAGCTGGCATCATACTTAATTGTGAAATACTGAATGTTTTCTCCCCTAGATTAGAAACAAGATAAGGAGGTCTACTCCTTCCGTTTCTATCCAGCATTATACTGGAGACTCTAACCAGGGCAATTAGGCAAGAAAATTAAATAAAAGTCATGCAGATGGGAAATAAGAAAAACTAGCTCTGTTTGCAGATAACATGATCATGTATGTAGAAAATCCTAAGGAATCCATTAAAAAATATAAAACTAATAAATGATCAGTAAGGTTGTAGGATATATAATCAACTTACAATGAGTTGTATTTTTATGTACTAGCAATGAACAACCCAAAAATGAAATTGAGTAAACAATTTAAATTATAATAGCATCAAAAATTATAAAATAGTTAAGAATAAGGTTAACAAGGGGTGCCTGGGTGGCTCAGTTGGTTAAGCTTTCAACTCTTGGTTTCTGCTCAGGCCATGATCTTCTGGCTTTGTGGGTTCGAGCCCCGCATCAGGCTCTATGCTGGCAGCATGGAGCCTGCTTAGAATTCTCTCTCCCTCTCTCTCTGACCCTTCCCCACTCACGTCCCCACTCACGTAAAATAAAATAAAGGATAAGGTTAACAAAAGAAGTGCAAAATTTATATTCTAAAAACTACAAAACATTGTTGGAAGAAATTAAAGATTACCAAAATACCCGAAAAGACAACTCAATAATAAAAATATAAATAACCCAATTTAAAAAAGGTCAAAAGATATGAATAAGCACTTCTCCAAAGAAGATATACAAATGGACAGTAAGCACATGAAAAAATCTCAGCAACAGTAGTCACCCATCAGGGAAATGCAAATCAAGACTGGGGGTATTGATATCCGGGCGCCTGGCTGGTTCAGTCAGTGGAGTGTAAGACTCTTGACCTCAGGACTATAAGTTTGAGCCCCACATTGGATGTAGAAATCACTTAAAAATAAAAATCTTAAAATGACAAGATAATCGCCTTATACCTGCTAGGATGACAATAATCAACAAGACAATAAAAAGTGCTGTGGAGGGGCACCTGGGTGGCTCAGTTAGTTAAGCGCCCGACTTTGGCTCAGGTCATGATCTCATGATTCAAGAATTCAAGCTCCGCATCGGGCTCTGTGCTGACAGCTCAGAGCCTGGAGCCTGCATCAGGTTGGGTTCTGTGTCTCCCTCTCTCTCTGCCCCTCCCCTGCTCACGCTCTGTCTCTCTCTCCTTCAAAAATTAAAAAAAAAAAAAAAAACATTTAAAAGAATTTTAAAAAGTGCTGTGGAGAACTTAGAGCCCTTGTACACTGCTTATGAGAATGTAAAATACTACAGCCACTTTGAAAAAAGTTTGGCAATTTCTCATAAAATTAAACATAGAACCACCATGCGACCCAGGTAATTTCACTTCTATATATACACCCAAGAGAAATGAACACAGATGTATGTCCACACAAAAACTACACAAATGTTTGTGGCAGCATTATTTATAATAGCCCAAGAGTGAAACAGTCCAAATGTCTCTCAGTTGATAAATGGGCAAATAAACTATAGTGTATCTGGATAATGGAATATTATTTAGCAATAAAAAGACATGACGTACTGATATGTGCTACAACATGGATGAACCTTGAAAACATGGTAAGTGAATGAAGCCACACACAAATGGCCACATATTGTATGATCTCATTTATATGAAAAGCCCAGAATAGGTAAATCTATAGAGATTGAAGGTGGATTAGTGGTTGCTTAAGACTTTAGAGGAAGGGGAAGGCAGAGGGGAGTGAGTGCTAATAGGTACGGGTTTTATTGGGAGGGAGTAATGAAAACACTCTGAAGTTGATGTGGTGATGGACGTACACCTATGAATATAAAAACCACGGAATTGTATGATCTATGAATTATAACTCACTAATGCTATTATTTTACAAAAGGACATAGCGATCTTATTGGGGGCCTGAAAATGTTCTAAAACTGATTTATGGTAATGGTTGTAGTTACCTGATAAAATTTCTAGAAATCATTTCATTGTATACCTGAATAAGGTAAAACAAATTTTTTTTTGAGAGACAGAACAAGAGACAGAGAGAGAGCCCAAGAAGGGGAAGGATAGAGGGAGAGGGAACCTTAAATAATCTTTGTGCCCAGCATGGAGCCTGATGTAGGGCTCATGAGATCATGACCTGAGCCAAAATCAAGAATTGGATACTTAACCCACTGAGCCACCCAGCCACCCCAGGTGAATTTTATATTATGTAAAATATACCTCAATAAAGTTGTTAAAAAAAGTAAAGAGTTCCCAAGTAATACAACCAATGAGAGGCAAGGCTGAAAATGTTTGTGAAAGGGAGAAGTTTCTAGAAAATAATAAATGTACCCAAACTGACTCAAAAAGAAATAGAAATCATTAACTTTAATTGGTGTTCAAGAGGTTCTGACTCCAAACTGAAGCCAGAGCCAGTTGGGTTTACAGGCAAGTTTTCTTTTTTTAAGTTTTAATTAATTAATTAATTTTGAGAGAGATAGAGTGAGCAGGGGAGAGGCAAAGAGAAAGGGAGAGAGAGAATCCTAAGCAGGTTCTGCACTGTCAGCATGAGACCGATGTGGGGCTCAAACTCACGAATCATGACCCGAGCCAAAACCAAGAGTCGGATGTTCAACCGACTGATCCACGCAGGTGCCCCTACAGGCAAGTTTTATTAAACCCAGATCTTGAACTTATACATATTTTAGAGAACGAGACAAAGGAAAGTCATACAATGTTTTTTTTTTGTTTTTTTTTTTTTATGAGGGTAGGATAACCTAGATTCCCAAACCAGAAAAGGATGATATAAGAAAAGGAAACTACAGACGAATTCTTTTAAACATAGAGACACAAATCCTAAACAAAAATTAGCCAGTTAAATAGAGCCTTTAAAAAAATTTTTTAATGTTTTTTATTTATTTCTAGGAGAGAGAGAGAGAGAGAGAGCGTGAGCAGGGGAAGGTCAGAGAGAGAGGGAGATACAGACTCTGAAATAGGCTCCAGGCTCTGAGCTGGCAGTCAGCACAGAGCCCGACGCGGGGCTCGAACCCACGAACTGCGAGATCATGACCTAAGCGAAAGTCGGAGGCTTAACCAACTAAGCCACCCAGGCGCCCCTAAATAGAACCTTTAAAAAAAAATCATAGCCAAGTTAGATTGATCTCAGGAATGCAAACACATTATCAGCACATTTGCTGCAAAACTCCAAGCTTTTCTCTTGTGCAGAATGCAAGGTAGAAATGCTACTGGGGCGCCTGTGTGGCTCAGTCTGTTAGGTGTCCAACTTCTGCTCAAGTCATGGTCTCAAGGTTCCTGAGTTCTTGAGCCCCGGGTCAGGCTCTGTGCTGACAGTTCAGAGCCTGGAGCCTGCTTCAGATTCTGTGTCACCCTCTCTCTCTGCCCCTTCCCCCCACCCTCTCTCAAAAATAAATAAACATTAAAAAAAAAGAAATGCTACTTTCGGGGGCACCTGGGTGGCTCAGTTGGTTGAGTGTCCAACTCTTGATTTCAGCTCAGGGCATGATCCCAGGGTCATGTTATCCAGCCCCACATCGGGCTCTACGCTAAGTGTGGAGTCTGCTTGGGATTCCCTCTCACCCACCCTTCTCTCTCTCTCTCTCTGAAATAAAAAATAAAAAATTAAGAAATGCTACATTAGGGAAGTTTTCCCAGGAATCTGTTGTTTCTCCTCCTTTATTCATTCAGCAAATATTTGAGTGATATTATGTACTGGTTACTGTTTTGATACCAGTGCGCAATATAAATGTCTGCCCTCAAAACTGGAAAGAGCACTATATGCTCTCCTCTGTATTAGCAAATTAAAGGAAAAACCCATGTGACTATCTCCACTGATATAAGAAAAGCATTTGAAAAATACAACACTCATTTATGATTTTTTTAAAAACCAGGGACACGTGAGTGGCTCAGTCAGTTAAGCATACGACTTCGGCTCAGGTCATGATCTCACAGTTCATGGGTTTGAGCCCAGCGTCGGGCTCTGTGCTGACAACCAGCTCAGAGCCTGGAGCCTGCTTTGCATTCTTTGTCTCCCTCTCTGTCTGACCCTCCCCGGCTCACGCTGCCTCTCTCTCTCTCTCAGAACTAAATACAACATTTAAAAAATTTTTAAAAAGCCCTGATGCATGTGAACACCCAGGAATTACCTTTCTATAGCAAATATCAGATTTAATGGTAAAATCTTAGAAACAAGGCAAGGACACCTGCTATCACTGTCACAAGTCAGCATCGTCCTATTGATCTGGGACAAAGTAGTAAGACAAGAGGGAGAAAAAAAAAGCCAGGATCTGACTGCCCCAAACGCAGTGCAATTGAGTGCTGTGCTCTCCTAGACAGGGGCCATTTATTTATCAGACATTTACTGAGCACTGAGCCCGTGCCAGGGTGGGGTCATAACTACCGGTCGGCTTCCACTTTGCGTGGGTGCACACGGCCTGGCAGGTGCGTGTCCGCGGCAGAGCTCTTGAGGTACCCGAAGCGCTCGAGATTACGGCAAAGAGAGAAGACCAGACCTCCCTGGGGATTCTGAAGGGGACTTTCTACCATGGCCCAGCAGTAGGACAATCCTATTTTGTTATGTATATTCATATATTTTGTTTGCCTCTTGATCCTTCCTTCCATCCTAGGAGAGTAGAATCCAGTGTCCTAGTAAATCTGAATTTACTGGTGTCAGTCTCAGGCCAGTCTTCAAGTGACCACAGCCACGAGTGACCAGCAGGATGTCCAGTGTATCCGCTGGCCAGTGGGGCCGTGTTGACCCAATCAAAGCACAGATGTCTCCTGGTGCATGCACTCACACGTACGCATGAGCGTGTGTGTGTGTGTGTGTGTGTGTGACGCGCGCGCCTTCGAAGGTATCACTAATCACCAGGCAGGTTTTTTTATTTCCCAACATGGGGACCACTGCCCTCTGGTGGCCACTCTGCCAAATGCCAAATTTAGAAAAAGTACTACCCTTTGTTGAGACCATTAGGAACCAAGTTTTATTTTATTTAATCTCCACGAAACCTTATAGAATAGGTATTATCCCCAGTGAGGCTCAGAGAGGTGGAGTTACTTGCCTGAGGTCACACAGCCAGAGGTGGTGGACAGGCTGTGACTAGGGTGAGGCAGTTTAGGGAGAAGCAAGAGAGGCCCCTCATCTGCTTCGACCTGACCCCAGCTCTGGTGATGGCATGGGACTGGAATAGGGTCAGCCAAGCTCCTAGGCTCATGGTCGTAACCACCTGGTGGCCCAGCCTCCTAACTGGCATTATGGGGGTCCCGTTCTAACCTTGGATATTTCCTTTGTGTGTGCAATGTTAGATGCTCGTAAAGCAAAGGCACAGACTTTTGCCAATGAACAGCATGGCTTGTGTCTTGCAAACGTAAGTAGTGAAAAGACATCTTGCTCCATGGGGTGCCTGGCTGGCTTAGTTGGTAGAGCATGAGACTCTCCATCTCAGGGTCGTGAGTTCAGACCCCATGTTGGGCTTGGAGCCTACTTTAAACAAAACAACACCTTGCTCTAGGAGCAACAAAGGAAGCATGGTGTGTGTGTGTGTGTGTGTGTGTGTGTGTGTGTGTGTGTGTGTGTGTTTGGTGTTCTGAGGGAACAGGTCCTGAGGGGAAGCCAGAAGGCAGTGTCCTGGCCACCAGGAACCTTCTTCCCCAGGCAGTGCATCCCCTGAGACAAGCCAGTTGCCACCAGGCAGGCTCCTTCAAGGTGCTGGGGAAACATTTGTTGGATAAATGACCATAAACTTGCAACAGCTGATACGCTATCCATTGTGATGATATACATGGTCGTTATTGTACTGTGTGGTCCTGGGCTCAGAAGGAAAATGCTTGCGGTGTGAAGGGAATTAGCACCCCTTGGACTAGACATACCCAGCTTTAGCTCTTCTCAGTTTGCCAGCATTTTTCATCAGAATCCAAGTCAGCAGTTTTCCCTGAAACTAATACACGTGTTTTTATTGGGCAGCTACTAGGAAGTCAAAACACAGGGAGAAGGCAATTGCAGAGGTAGAGCTCTAGGCTATTTAGCTGGCACCAGGCGCGTGGTGCTGTCCTAAGCCTGGTCCTCTTTACGTCAACCCGGTGGGGCAGGAGGCGGGGAGAATGAATCCTTTCAGAGATGAGAAAGCAACTCAGAGAGGGCAAGGGGTGTATCTAAAGTCACACAGTGAGAGGCAGAGTTGAGATTTGAGTCCAAGTCTAGCCTCATGCCAGCACCTTGACATCTGTGTCCATGATCCTCAAAGAGTGTCCCCAGCCCGGCAGCAGCAGGATCGCCTGGGCACTTGTTAGAAATGCAGATTATCAGGTCCCACTGCAGAACTACTGAATCCGAAACCGTGGATGTTGGACCCAACCACCCGTGTTTTAGCAAGCCCTCCAGGTGATTCTGTGTGACTCCCAAGTGTGGGACCCACACACCGTTGCTATAGTGGTCCCTCTGCCTCATCTGCCCGCAGTCAGGTGACAAGCAGGGCAGGACAACCCAACTAACTCCAGTCAGGACATTTTAGGATAGCGCCAGGCGAGGGAGAGAGTTCTGGGGCTTCTCAAAGGGTTTCATGGAAGAGATGACATTTGAACCTGGCCATGATGAATGCAAGGACTTTAACGATTATAAATGGAAGAAAAGGGACACCTGGGTGGCTCAGTCAGTTAAACGTCCGACTACGGCTCAGGCCATGATCTTACGGTTCCTGGGTCCAAGCCCCACCTGTGTTGAGCTTTGTGCGGACAGCTCAGAGCCTGGAGCCTGCTTTGGATCCTGTATCTCCCTCTCTCTCTGCCCCTTCCCTACTCACACACTCTCTCTCTCTCAAAAATGAACAAACATTAAAAAAAAATTAATAAATAAATAAATGGAAGAAAAAGGCTTTCAGGCAGAGCGGAGGCAAGGAGGCCAGAAAGTGCCTGTTCATAAGTGGAATAGAGGCCAGTTCATGAAAAGCCTTGCCTGCTAGGCTGGGGGGTCTGGCCTTTATCCTGGAGGCAATGGGGAGCCATGGTAGGTTTTTGAGCACAGGTATGCTCTCAGTACAAAGTTCCAGTGGGTCACAGCATTTTCCTGCCTACCCACTGTAGCAGGCAAAATAATGGTCCCCGAAGATGTCCATGTTCTCATCCCCAGAGCTTGTGAATGTGTTATGTTACATGGCAAGGCAGAAATGAAGATTGCAGATGGAATTGAGGCTGATAATCAGCTGACCTTGAGATGGGGAGATGATCCAGGTGGGCCCAGTATAATCACAGGGTCCTAATAAGTGGCAGAGGGAGGAAAGTCAGAGCCAGAGTCAGTGAGAGCTTTCAAGATGCTGCACAGCTCACTTTGGACACAGAGGAAGGGGCCACAAGCCAGGAACGTAGCCAGAAGCAGGACATCCGATGGCCAGAGCCTCCAGAAGGAACCCAGTCTTGCCAACACCGTGATTTTAGCCCAGCGAGACCCATTTGAGACTTCTAACCCCCAGAGCTATGGAATAAGCCTTCAGAAATCTGCAAGGAGTCTTCTTTTCCTCAACCAAACACAGTAACATCGGTCACCATTTCCTGAGTGCTCAGGGGGTTGTATACTTCTTGAACATGCTCCCTTTAATCCTCACAGCAGCCCCCATGACGTACGCATTATTATGTCCATTTTCCATATGGGGAAACCGAGGCTCGCCAGAACGAATAAGGAGTATAGCCAGCACTGAAGCCCAAGCCTGTCTCCAAGGCTTGCACCCACCAGGCTTAAGAGGACTTAGGCCTAGACTGTGACCATTTTTACGGGCTTGCCTGGGTGGGCTTCAGCCAAAGGTGCTGGGGGCCTTTCCTGGCTGGAGCAGGGGCAGACTGTTGGGGGACCCCGGACATCCTCCCCTTCTAATGAGGAGCTTGGCAAAGTCAAACTTGAACTTCTCAGCCTACCCCTCCAGCCCTGTCTTGGGTCTGCTTTCACCTAGGCCATGGAAGACAGACGTGCAGGCATTGGACCCAGGTTCACGGCCAGACTGCTTGTGTTGGCCTCCTCGTCCCAGGCAAGTTCCTCTCCTCACTTCTCTCTGTTTTACTTCCTACTCTGTAAAATGGGGATAATAATAGTACCTATCTTTGAGGGCGTGCTATGGGCTATGGCACGTATGTAACACACTTACTCGTTACCTATATGGAGCAAGTCTAATAACTGGTATCATTATTTTCATTATCATTTCATGTCACGGGAGACCCACCCCAAGCCCCCTCCTCGGGAACAGCGGGGGTGATCAGCTGCGCAGATGAATTCACGCACATACCCTTTTAGTATGAATTATTGTCACGTCTTCACAAAATATCTCTTTAGGAGCATTCAGCTTTTTGTGGGTTTGTGGACCCTTGGGCACTCTAATGAAAACTACAGCCTTTTTATGTCTGATAATCTATACCCTTCTCTGAAAATTGCCCCTGGGTGCACAGGGATAGGTTCCCGCAGCTATGCTTGGACTCTGTGGCTGTTGGTGGGCCCCCATGGCTCACAAGAAGCCTGGCTTACCCTGGTGGGCATCCAGGGCTACTTCATCTAGCTTTCCAGCTGTGCAGGCTGTGCACTGCCCAACTCTAAGGGGCGCCATGACATAGACTACAATTCACAATCCTGGAGTTGTACAACATGGCTGGCGTCTTGTGAGCTTCTGCTCCAGACTGGGGCTACCCAACGCTCTCTCTCTCTCAAGGGAGTTTAAGAGTTGAGAGTCTAAGATTAGTCTCTACTGGCAGCTTGAACTGAAGATACGTAAATGAAGACCATGTGGCCCTGGAGAGCAGCTGCTCTTGGTTCTCGAGTACTTTCCAGTCTCTTGTGGGACCCCCGGTTAGGAAGGATCTTGCACAACTTGAAACCACAGGCTCATGGAGCTCACAGTCTAGCAAAGGGTGGGAGTGGGTCTTCACACACACGTGCACACACAGGAAGTGAGGGAAAAACAAGGAAACAGGAAACATAATGAGGAAGCCTGGGAACCTATGGGAAGGGCACTAAGCTATCTCACAACCTCAGGGAAGGCGTCCTAAGGCCGTGATGTCTGTGCCATCTGGGTCATAGGGATGAAAAGGAGATGGCCAGGCCAAGAAGCTGGAAGAATAGTGCAGGGAAAAGGAACAGCCAGTGCGTGAGAAGAGAGGTGGTGGTCTGGTGGCCTTAGGAATTGGAAGGAGGTCAGTTTTCTCCTGAAAGAGAGGATTGAAGAGGCAGATGCGGCTAGATGGGAAGGGCCTTGTAGGCTTGCAAGAGTGTGGGCTTGATCTTAAGGGTGGGGAGGACTCCATTTTGCATCCATTTTCCCTTGACAATCCTCATTTTCACTTCTGGTCTCTGGTCTCATCTCGCCCCATGACATGAAATGTGAATTCCCCACTCCCTGGAGCTCAGTCTTGAATCTGCAGAAGGTAAATCATGGAGCAGTGGAAGAAACAGGGATTTTGACATTAGATAAACCTGGATTCTAATTCTGTCCCTGCCACCCACTGGTGTAATTTTGAGCATCAGTAAACAGAAATAATAACACCTACTTGATCCAACAAATATTTGCTGCATGACTACTATGGACCAGATGTGGGGACAATAATTAACATTTACTGAGCTAAGACATACTATGTGCCAGGCACTATTGCCAAATCCTTTCCATCCATCACCTCATTTAATCATTTCTAAACATTATGAGGGAGATACCATTATTCCCCCATACTACAGATGAGAAAACTGAGGCCCACAGAGATTAAGCAATTTACCCAAGGCAGATAGCAAAGCCAGGAATCAAACCCAGGTAGTCTGGTTCCAAAGCCTGGGTACATAGCCTGGTTTCCCACCAAGTCCCTCCTCTCATAGAACTTATATTCTAGTGGAGGGAGCAAACAATAAAAAACAGACAAATAAGAAAAGCAGCATGTTAAGAGGGGTAAATGCTAAATAGGAAAAAATACAGCAGGGTAAGAGTGATGGCGAGTATAGGGAGACACAGGTGGTTGGAGTTTTAAATGAGATGATCAGGACAAGCATCATTAAGGTGGTGACAGTTGAGCTAAGAAGGGGGGGAGGGGAAGTAAAGGAGTTGACCATGTGGATATCTGTGGAAAGTGCATTCTAGGCAGGGGGAGCAGCCAGTGCAAAGGTCCTGTGGCAAGAGTGTGCCCAGTATATTCAAGGAACAAGGAAGTCAGTGAGCCTGGAACAGAAGTGGAGACAAGGGGAAGAGTAAGAGTAGATGAGGTCAGAGCAAGACAGGTTATGTGAGGACTTTCAGGCCATGTGGAAACTTGGCTTTTAGTCTGAGTGGAATGAGGAGCCATTAGAGGGTTTTAAGCAGTGAAACTACATGATCTCACTTGATATTTTAAAGGACCACTTGCTTCTCTGTTGAGAATAGACTATACAGGAGCAAGGGTGGAAGCCGAGAGACCAATTAGAAGGTTCCTGAAGTAATCCAGGCAAGAGATGATATGGCTTAAATCAGCAGTGAAATGACG